TTCTAAACTTTGTGTGGAATTGGATAGCTTTATCCATTAGAGAAATGTGGATGCCCTCCTACATAGGATGTAGCAATGATTGAAGGTTTCCTGGGAAACAGAAAATGGGATATATGCAAAGAATGCACACAAAGTGTATTCATTCATGCTTTAGAAGTCTTTCTTTCATTGAAAGACAGATTATTAGCTATAAAAAAAGTGCATTAATAATTAACAGGATGAGAAACTTAGTACATTGTAATAGAACTCGGGTATGTTTCTAACTCATTAAAGCCATTTCATCCAATTTGCGCAAGTCAAGCAGGCACTCTTTTTTGCAATTCATGATCCATTCTCCCTTTTTTTTCTTATTAGAATTTGTTAGAAAGCAAAAGGGGATTTTGGTTTTGCTTTTTAAGAAGCAAAATTGCACTTGCAGTTTATATAAGGAAATAAGGCGTAAGCCCTTTTTGATAGTTAATTTTTGTACTTTTGGAGGCTGTTATATTGTGCTGTAATGTTTTTTTGATTAATTTACTGAGTGTATAGTTTAAATTTAGAATTTTTCATTTAACGGTGCCTGCATGCTAGTTTTGTGAATTGAGAAAAAAATATACGTAGTTGGATTGCTTCCCATGAAATAACATTTCAATTAGTTCATCTCATGCTACAGTTTCTATTCTTATAATATTTTTAAGCATGAAATATCTTCAGTGCTTTGGAATCTGATGCCTCATTTCAATATTGCAACTTCAGTAGCTTAATGAGTGCTGTGTAATTCAGTGCAGAGGAGGCTCAGAGTACTGCTTAACATGCTAATAAGACATCATGGAGAATGCCACCTCTTTTAGTGAAGTAAGCCTTCGTACAGGTTTTGCGGTAGAGGTCCTAGCAATGGGTTTGTTTTCCGTTGGGGTACATAACCTTCTTTCTTCAGAGTTGTTTTCAGAAAGAGCCTGCATTCAAGCTTCGTACCACAGACTCATACAGTAAAATGTAAATTCTTTTGAACTTCTAAAATACTGGTAATAATTTTAGAAAGATAAGCTACAGATTTTAAATGATTCCACAAATAAATCACAGATAATTTAAATGGCATTTATGTGATTAAATCTACAGCAGATGGAACATTTTAGAGGGAAAAGGGGCTTATCTGGAAATACATGCAGCCGTAGTGTGAATCACATGGTTGGGCTATTTTGCAGTCACTGAGTATCACTGAGGTTCCATGGACAGATAAAGATTCATTTGCAAGTGTCACGCTTTGGAGTTCAAATGCTGTATGGTCTTGGATGGTTTTTTACTAGCGTAAGTTTGGAAGATGGACCATTGTTTAGCCTTGTACATGTTTCCATCAGTGATTTTATTTATGTATATAACAGTTGCTTTTTTCTCATTGAATGACATAGTAAATTTTTCAGTTAAGGAAATGATACACTAAGTAGGATATGTATAAAAGACAATATCAGAGCATAGAAAAATGTTTTAAAACAGGTGTTAAGGGGAAAAGGATTGGCCAGGCCTTGTAAATTCCTGCTGATAGAGCTTTTCATTTTCAGGAGAGAATTTCAGTCGTTGACTTCTCTTGGAAGTTTTTGTTGAAGGTCTTTACTTGATATTTTGGAGTGCTGAGAATGATACCAATTGATACTTAGCAACCTAAACATTAGCCCCTTACTTTAAGGAAAGCTTATGGTATTTATTTGTGTAAGTGCTACTAAAATTACATTTAGATGGAGGGAATGATACATACAGGTTAGGGAAAAAAAAAAATTCAAAGTTGGTGCAGCTTGTGTAGCTGACATCAGAGAGGTAAACTTGGGCATTTTTCATTCATGCCTTATTTTTGATCAGATTTTGAAACAGTATTTCTCCCTTAATACTGTACAGCAGATATTTCAATATATAAAACACAACCTAATGAATCAAATAGTTGCATGATGTTACTCTCAAAATCTGAATAACAGACCTTTATTGGTAGCGGTGATGCTTTGTTTAGTTTTTAAACAGTTTGCTTAACAATATGCTCTTAATAGGCTCTTTTTACCACAAATAAAGGAAGCTATTCTACATCAGATTTAGGTCAAGAGTTTCAATTTCAAGAGAAAATGCTGTGTGTCTCCTTTGAGGGTGACAGAATGTGGGATTTTACATCTCTGAGTTTAAAGCTTTTAAGAGACCTTTCCAACCACCACAATACATTAATAAGTAAGACTAAGGCAATTGTTGGGTCCATTCAAACCAAGTATTTTTTTGAAACGGAACATCACTTGTTTTCTACAAAATTGTGGTGTGGTGTTTTTTTTTTTTTTTTTTTCTCTTACATAGGAAGGAAAAATCTAAGCAGAAGCTAAAATTTCAGAAATTCATACACCCCATTGAAATTCTGCAAAACTTGCACTCACTTCACTGAATATTGAGTCACTTATAATAATGTTACTGAAGAAGAACGTATGTCTTGGAAATTATTCAGCTTTACCATGACATCAGGAAGTAGCATACTGATTATGCAGATGTAGATAATGGACACTCCCATTGAAAAGAGTTAATTTTCAGACTACCCTTTAAATCCAAAAGTAGTTTGTTTTTTTTTTTTTTTTTTTTTAATCAGGAGGGTATTTATAAACCCCTTATTAAAAAGAAGTACAAGGAACATAACATAGCAGGGCTTCTTCATTACTAATAGATCAAGGGGATGATGATACAAGTATTAAGAATTACAATAACTTCTTAATGATGGTGTTCAGCACATGGTTGTTATGCTGAGTTCCAATCGTCTTATAGATGGCGCTGTCTTTTGTTAGAGATGAGATAGTAGTGGAGGTTGAGGTGTCAGAAAAAGTAGTAGCTGAAAAAAGTTTTCAATTTATAGAAGGAGAGTTAGTGGGCCATGAATCATGAAGCATCTCAGAAGAGAAGCGTCTTAGTTGCTAGGAGAGAACAGCAGTTTTGTTTAAATAGCACCAAAAACTGATGGGAAACAGTTTTTCGTGTGAATCATATTTACACTGTGCAGTGGTTTGAGCCCCTAACCTTAGTAATAGAGGGCTGTGAATAACAAGAATATGCGGATTATGAGAATTGTTGCCAAACAGAGAGTACTGAAGGGAAATACAAATTATCTTCGAGATTAAAATCGTGCTTTCCCAATGGCCACAATTGCTGCGGAAGGAAGTTTAGCTACCTCTCTATAGTTACTGGTTTTTTTCCCTCAGTTTCCTGTTATGTACGTGCTTCCAGGTATGGTCAGCGATAGGATACTAAATGAAAAGGACCCTAGATATGTCCAAGAGTGGCATTATCTTTATGGTTGACTACATCTTTACCATTAAATAACTTTAATATTCAATTAAGTGTGTAATTGAGCAGTGCAATAATCTTATATCTGTTCCATTTAGAAGCGATACTTCATTATGCTTCATTTCTTCAGAAGTGATGCTTCATTTTATAATACATTTTGCACTTTTAAAGCCTTTTATTCTGATTTTTCTGTTTTATTGCTCCTTTCATTTCTACTTGTGTTATTTGATAACTTCACATTTATTCAGAAGGAGTAAAACTTCTGTTTCTGAGGAAGAGCAGTGCAGAACTCGTGCATTTTCCTACTTATTTAGAGTGCAAAATGCACTGAGTATCAGGATTTATTCCCTCAAAGCTTGGGGAAGTTGTTCTTGCACAGGGAGAAAGACATTAACTGTGAAGCTTGGCTCCATACCCATGCCATATACTGAATATAACTGTAACTTGTCATCGTCACTAGTTCTTTTTCTTTAGACTAAAAGTAGCATGAAACACTTTGCAGCCAATCTCTGCACATGTATAAAAAGAAGTTTACAAAGTTTGACTTCATACTGATTTAGGGGATTTTGTGCTTTTGGGCTATGTCTCTATGAAATTTCTGTCAGAAACTTGGAGGGTTTTTTTTGCATAATAACTTGCTAGAAGTAAAGCTGAATATTACTGACATTGTTCCAAATAACACTTAGGGAACTCTGAACTGGCGAGCTACAGAATGCCAGTTAAATTGAGTAACCCTTACCAAGTTTTCTATTAATTTAATTTCCATCAGGTCTTTAAATCACAACTTATTTGTTTTCAGTGTTGTACAGACCGTGAAGTAGATCTTTCCTTTCTAATAATCTGGTAGACTTCCGTGTTGCTTGCCTTCATGAAATCTAAGATACTATCTCCAAACAAGTTCACCTTTGAATCAGAATCTGAGGCGGCTGCAGAAAATACCACCTCTCTCTGACTGGTATTGCCTCAGGAGTGTGGTTTCTTCATGTATGTAACTCTGCTGGGCAGACGAGGAAAGAAAAAGTATCTAGGAAAAGAGGGAAAATAAGTGTTGCTACCAGTTGTGGACTTGAATGCTGAGAAAGAAATAAACTGAGCTTTTTGTATGTGATAGAAGGACATGGAGCTCTGTGTTCACCAGCGTAGGCACAGTGTACATGTGCTGAACCGGATGCCCTTAGGATAGAGTATACAATCACGGAACAAATGAATATGTAATCAGTGTTGTTATCTGACCAAAAAATGTGGCTGCGAATATTGACGTATGTTTTGGATGTAATGGAGGCAAAACACTGTGGTGCTTTACATCAGCTTTTAGTGAGCGGTGTCGTATGTTAGACTCGTACCCACATTGTATCTATCTTTTTGTTGTTATGTACATAAAAGAAAACAAATGTGAAGCACATTAGTGTAATTAAGGTCTGGAGGAACCCCACTGATCCTTATTTGAAACTGCTGATAAATTTAGCTTTACATCATTGTTGGATTGCTTCAGATGATCAGATAGAAACAGAAGTCAGTTTGTCTGTGTTCTTTCCCCTATGTCTTTGGGTTTTGCATTTCTGAAGAACACGTGTAGTACATTTTTGTTATGTTATTCGCTGCCTGGGAAGAAATCGGTGGGGAAGAATATGGAAGCAGTGAGGGAGGGAGGAGGCATGCTATATGTTTTTCAGAATCTGAAAGCATGGAGCTGAAACCATATGCTTCTTATTTGCTCTTAGGTTTTCAGAAAAAGCAACGATCGAATGGTTGCAGCTCTTTGAAGGTAGCGGGGTTCCATATGGCCCAATCAACAATATACAGCAAGTATTCTCGGATCCTCAGGTTGGTTCTCACCGAGTCTTTTCTATACATTAATACATGTGTTTTACAAATGCTGAGTAAGGATCACTTTTCCTGCCACTGGGACCTGATTTCAGCTACTTTAAAATGGGATTTGAGAGTTATATGGTGGATTGAATTTAAGCCAATAATATGGCATAATAAGAAATAAATGCATATCCTTAAATGAATTATATGCTTGGGAACACAATTTTTGCCCTAATGCATTAAACTATAGATATTCTGTGTCTTATATGGAGGCTGTCTACCAAAAATGGCTGGTAAAACAAGAGAAAGAAACTGTAATATATTATGTAATTGCATTTTGTTATATAAATATGCAGAAAAGCACCCTTCTTGCTGTCCACAAGCAGCCGATTTTCTGTATGGAATTTGAAATAAAAGGGCAACGTTTTGAATGGAAACAGAAAAATGAAGCACAGAAGTCATGTGCAGGAAAATTTTAACCTTTTCTTGGCCTGGTGGTTTCCCTGGCTGAGAAGGCTTCAGCTTTTTATTTATTTAATTTATGTCTTGGTAATTGCGTCTATAATTATAAACACTGTTTTTACTTTTGAGTATCTGTAGTTATATTACCTGCATATTCCTTGATCCGTACCCTTCTTCTCACCCTCTGGCTTATTATGGGTTAAAGGGCCCAACAGAAACAGAGTTATACTGTATTGAATAGTGGAACAGAGTATTTTATGACTGATCTGTTGTGTGATGTATTTCCCTTAAATTAATTTCTAATAATGAGAGTTACCAGAAAAATGACTGCCCATTGGAGGAAAAAAAAGCACCCGATTTCGTACGTGTCCATGTCTACTGTCAAGAAGTGTTTGACAGGATTGTATATATGATTGTAGTTTTGGGGAAAGAAGACCAGGCAAAACAATCGCTACCATGAGGAAATATGTTTATAATAAATATGTTTGTTATAAATATGTTTATGATACTTTTAGAGGAATAAGACAGTATTTGTTAGGCAATTGCAAGGAAAGAAGGTTTTTCTCTTAAATAAATACACTCCTTCTCCTTAAAATGATGTAGTACCATGCTGTAAAGTGTGCATGGGCCAAATTTTTCACTTCATAACTTTCACAGGGATTACAGTTGGGCTTTGAAAAACATACAGCAAGAGTATTTTACTCAGAACATGGTTGACTTGGCTGTACTTGGGGCAATATTGGAAAAATAGTCTTTGCTTTTCTTTCAATGCTGTGTATTTTAAGAAGTTCCGCCCACTCTGTCAGAGACAGCTTTTAAAATCATACTATGTCATAGGATGGCCGTTACCTCCTAAATTGACAAGAGGTTAGCTTGGTTATCCTGCTCTTGTTAGAATTCACCTAAATATTATTTATGTATTTAAGTGATCCATACCACCATGTGGCAGGTTTTTCAAAATATTTTCCTGTAAAGGGGCATAATGATCTCTCTTCTTCCTCATGAAACTCCTTGAAAGCGTTGTCTTTTCTACACCCTCCTCTGATATAAGTGGCCTTCAGACACTGTGTTCTTATTACTATTGGAAATGAAATGTCAGTATTTGTGGCAATGTTGCATGTTATAAATTTGTTTAATTTCTGGTGCTGACCTCCTCCTCAAGCATTTTCTCACAGTTCTGTTCAAAGGGAGAGGAAAAAAAAGATTGCAGTTCTTTCCCCTTCTTTCTTGAAATCTGGAAAAGTGTTGATATTTTAAGGCATTACTCTTATGGCAAGATATTTACTTTACATGACATATAAAATTAAGCTCCCCACTCCACCTTTATTAATCTGAGAGACCATCCAGCAGACCAGCAGCTCGGAGAGTAGCATACTCAACCTCTTAAGTATATTTTTCTAATTTCTACGCCAATTTTTATTTTGATGGTGAAGACTTCAGACCTTCCCAGGTGGCTTCTGAACTGTAGTTTTTGCCGTTGTTCCTTGCCCAGTCTCCCTCCACTTGTTCATCTTTCTGCTGCTGGATAGGCAGCATGTGTCTGAGATAAACACACGTGCTTGTGTATAGCTTTGCTCTTTCATAAGCCAGTCTGAAATTTTGGTTTCTGAAGCCTCAGAAAGCATGACAGTGCCCCGAGGCTATGTCTTAAGACTGGGGTAGATGTCTAACACCACCTAAGAATCTGTAATCCAGGTATCCTTTGCATGATGAAATTCCTGTTAGAACAGGGAAAAAGCAGCACCCACCAAGGAAATACGCATGAGAAAAATCTTGCTGTGATTACAGTAAAGCTGAACCCAGTCATGAAATATGAGAACTTTGTAATTCTTTAGTCTACCATTATAATACGGTGAGTTCTTTCAGGCTCAGTTTAGATCAGAAAATACATTTCTAGGAAACGTGTCACTCGGCTTGCATTTAAGCGCCTTACTTACTAATACTGTATTACAGCATGTGCAGCGTGACGTAAAATGAAAAAGTTGATCATAGTGCAGTAATCTGCTTTTCATATTCATTTGCTTTCAACCATTGCAAAAACATCAAACCCGGTGATGATTCAACATACTCTAAGCTACCTCTGGTAGGTAACAGTTCGGTTTTGCTAACCTCTTCCATTTTGGGCGTTACCAGCGGAATTGGAGCTAAACACAGTTCCGTTTTTAAGCTTCATTTTACTGCCATCGTCTTCTTATTTGCTGTCTGGATTTCGATGCCCCAAACGCAGCCATCGTTTGCTGTGAGTGCAGTCTCTCCCCATTACTGACCGAGACCTGCTGCACGGACCTCAGGACCATGGAAGCGTGTGCCAGCTCGGCTGGCGGTAACGCTGCCGAGGGTGGCTGGGCTGGTACCGCCGGGGCAAGGGACTGCAGTGACGCAAGGGAGGAATGGAAGCAAGTCTGAGGAGATAGGAAGGGTGACTCGAGGAGATGAGATGAGATGAGCGCAATAGTCTAACGGAACTTAATCAGCTATTGGTGGGTTGCGTTTTCAAGTTTTGTTTTATTTTAACTAAAAGGACCTCAGAACTCTGAAGGCCAAGCGCGGTGTGTATAACTTCTGCTCCAAACTGAGATAAAACAAGACGTTTTTGATCCCAGGACATTCTGTTAATATCATTAACAGCTTCAATCATACTCCAAGTGAGCTGCCAAAAAACATGAAATTTTTTACTAAGTTGGAGTGCCAGGTGATACTGTTTTTTCCACGAATGGAGTGAAAAGACCACTTTTCCCACTGATTATAATCTTTTATTCGTTTGTGAAGTTAAAATGAATACCACAGGCGTTTGTACTGCTAAGTCAATCAGTTTGTGGATAGAAGTGTGTGTGTGCTTGTGCATGTATGGATGAAAAGGCTGAGAGAAAGAGTTGCAGATTCGCTAGTTAAGGGAACAATTTCCTTAAAAATGAGAGGGAGGAAAGTATGTTTGTAAAAGTTCTTACAGACTCTTAATAGTACAGTATAGACTATTTTAATGAAGCTTTTTATAGTCAAACTTTTTCAAGCTATTTTTTAAAAATGTGTTCTTTTAACCAGGCCAAGATAGTACAAACATTAAAGGAATTCTTAAAACGTTTTAAAAAACTTACTGGTGACCTCAGTATGGTCCCATTTAACATACCCTGGGGAACATGTGTAAGAAATACAATGTGGTTTGAGGTTTTCCAAACAAAACAAACTTAAAAGAGAATACCATTTTTAATAGAAACTATTCAAATTCTCCCAAAAGATAAAGCAAAACAAAAACAGGTACGCACTGTACTGCAGCTAAGTATGAAAGAACAAAGATCTTTGCTGGTTAAATTGAGGGGACTGAATTTTTTTTCTGCTTTCTTGCCGTCCCCTTTTTCGCAATGTAATTCTTCATAATTCTTTTACAGTGTTATTACTTTAATTAAATGGCTGACATATATAAGAAGCAGCAAAACAACCCAGAAAATATTATTGGCAGTTCAATGAATTGTTTGTTATCTGGTGTTTTACCAGATTAAATCCATTCATGTTGATGAGCTTCACTGTATGAATGTTGCCAGCTGAAAATAAAAATGGAAGCCATGCAGTGGTACTCCTCCCCCTCCCCCCCCCCCCGCGCCCCCCCAACAGATACAGTCATACCACACAAGTTGAATACATCAGGTGTAAGACATCACCCTGATGCATCACTTCTGAGAAATATGGGGAGGGAAATATCGGAGCTGAAATATCACAGCTGGCCCTGATTTCAGCTCCTGCCAAACACCTGCAGACTCTAAAAGGATACCAAAACAAAACTCCACCCTGTGGCAAGAGGCCATCCCTTAACAACCCTTCCCTGACTTTGCATCACTATAAAAATTAATTTAACATTTTTTACAGAAACCTTAGTCTTCCTGTCCCAGAAGGCCATTACAGTTCCTTTAGCCATTTTTCTGAATATGCCTCAGAAAAAAAAACTGCAGTAAATTGACTATTGAAATATCTGATAGCTGGAAATTATCTGATGTTTTAAGTTTATTATTTGTGGAAAGTTATGAAGGTGGTAGGTTTTTTATTTACTTCCAGATTGTCTCTTATTTTGGAAGTCACTTAATTTGAGCAAAAATGTCCTAGCATCTGGTAAAAGCTTCTAAAGTCAGTGTTGTGAACACACAGAACAGCAAAAGGTGTAAAGCGTGGTGATGTTTTTTGGTTTTATTTTGTTTGTTTGGTTTTGTTGTGTGTTTGTTTTTTTTTTTTTTTTTTTTAAATTGTTGTTAGCTTGGGTTTTTTGCTTTGCTTTTTTTTTTTTTTTTTTTTTAAAAAAATATGACCATATTTTAATTGTTCTTCTTTGTTGAAATAGACTTTTGTGGCCCCCTGAGGGCTGTCCCAAATCGAATGAAATTATATTCATACCCATAATACTGGAGGGAGGTTTTTTTACATATAGAAGTTTCTGCAACCAAAAAGCGGTTGACGAAGACCTGAGGTAATACAGTGTGTCTGGAAGTAATTCCTAACAGACAAGAGAAAGAAGAATTAAATTTTGCATGTGTCTATTAAGTAAATACTAAAGCTGGTTGGAAATT